AAGAGCGGTCGAGCGTGCCACGTGAATATAAAAAGAAAAGAAATTGTGGCAAAAGAAGAAAAATGGAGAAAAAAAAATAATCAAAAATCAATAATCAAGTTGATATGCTTTTTGATATTTGGTTGGTCCATCCATCATATGTTGATGGTTATAATAATCCTAATGCCCCCATATGTCAACATCATCACAACATTTTCACCTTTTACATTAGATACCAAAACCTTCCTTTTATTTTTTTTCGATGAGAAAAAACACATTTTTATTTGTAATCAGATACGAATATTTTGTACATTTTATATTTAATGATTCAAATTTAATTCGCATTTAATTAAAAAAATATGTTTTAACAAAATTCGTTTTTATTTTGCAATGTGTTGATGTTGATTATCAGATAAAGAAACAAATCAAATAATTTCGAGCGTTAGATAAATTGGCATTATTTGCATTAATTTACCTCATCGTTTCATTTACTGTTTTCATCAAGAAATATAAATTCACCATTTAAAAAAAAATAGAGTGAAAAAATATAAAAAAGGGCCAAAAGGTATAAAAAAAATTATAGAAGAAATGATGAAAGGGTTTGAATGGTCAAAGGAAAGGATTTGCAATTTTCCTCATTGTCACATTGGATCCTTTCACTCTTTTTTACCACTTTTGAACCCATTTTTCATCCTTAGGCTTAAGGACCATGGATTAAATTTAAAGCGATACTCTTAAAAAATTAATCAAATTAATATAGAATAAGAAGAAAATGGAAATTAAGCCAAATAAAATGTCTGGATAATTCACATAATCGTGACTATCAAGTATCACCCTTTTTATTCCGCAAAAATAAAACAACCCATTATTCGTTACCACTTATAAATAGCCTTTCGAATATATATATATTTTCATAACCATTACATTTATTAAAAATAATCCGATTGAATAAGGTGAAGAAATACTTATCAATTAAGGCGACGAAGAAAATATTCGTTTTTTACATTTTTTTATTTTCACAAAAATGGAAATTATTCACCGACGCACTTCTCTATTTAATACATATTTGAAGGATCCATTAAACTTATAATACATATATTTCTAAAAATAATAATAACAATATCACACCAAGAAATGATTTTTTTTTTCTGCAATCGGATTATTCATAAACCTCAATCCAGAAATCCGGTTTACCACTGGGTTCGGTTATCGATTAAACCGAACCGGATATGACAAAAGTAAAAATAATAGCACAAGGAAAATAAAAGAGTGAGAGATGATTGTACACTTACACCTTGCGTGCACTCCTCCACGCACGCACGTATCTTTTTCTTCTCATGATCCCCACACCAAGGGCATTTTTGTCTTTTCATTTCTCCATTTTTTCACTTCTCTCCGTGTATATATGAACATATATGTCTTCTTCTTCTCTCTCCATCGTCCAGTAGAGTTCACTTGCCTTCGCTTCTTCCTCTGCATCACCTTCATCTGTGGAATTTTTAGGGTTCCCTCTCTGATTTTCTCTGAGTTTGCTTAGATTTTCGTCGTTCTTCGGTGAGTTTCCTTCTATACTGTGTTTATTTTATTTTTTGTGTTTTCTTGGGATAATTTCTTCTACTTTTCGTCCTTTAATGGCGGATCTTCACCTTTTTATGTGATGTGCGTCGGAATTCGTTTTACTTCGTCGCATTTAGCTTTAACAATACTGTTTCTCCTACAGATTCATTTGAAAACAGAAAGAAATAAATTTGGTTGGATTTGGATCGGTCTACGGGAAGATTATAGGGGAAAAAGCAACAGCATGCGGTGGTGGCTCGGTCTCTCCGTCTACGTCTTCCAAAGAGTCGTCTCCTTGAATGTCTACTGCCGTGTGATTCTGTAAATCTGGGATCTCGCCTTTGCCATTAGAACCCTAGAAATTTAGGGAAAAAAAGCCATTTCATATTACCATATGGGATCGTTCTTCTTCGTCATCGTTCCTTGCTTCGTTCGCCAAATCATCTGAGATCACAATCCGTGGGCCTGTTTCTTCTTCGCTTGCTGTTGACCCATTCAAAAAATAAATTAGCGTAGGGAGTAGTAGTTATGGTTTGCCAATCAGCGGGACAGACGAGATTTCGGGCACTCAAGTACGAGAATGGAATCGAGGGAAATTCCCCCATTATAGTTAGAGTGATAGCATGCTTTCAACCTCTTCGAGATTGCCAGGTTCGTTTCCATCCACAACCAATCTTTCCTTGAAGTTATTCTTGTGCTTGTGTGACTGTGATTTGAAGTGGAAGAATCCGAATCAGATTCGTCTTTTCGGTCAGGCTTTGTGTTGATTCTGCTTTGTTTTTTGCTTTATGTTTTTTGTTTTGCAGGCCGAATACTTTCGTCAGTTGCTCAAGCCCGTCACGTAGAGTAGATTCAACGTTATCGTGCTCAAGTTAGGTCGGAGTTTCTTAGTTTTATTGTTGTATTGATTTTTTTTGGAGGATCTGGAAATAAACAACTATTCTTGCGACTAGACAGACATCCTTTGATTGGTAAGTTGAGAACTTTATGATCCAATCTTGTTGTTTTCCCGTCGTAGATGATTTGTTTGAGCTGATGATTTCTTTTTTTCCTTTGCAGTTGAACTTCGCTTTGTTGGATGGGAAAAGATCGTGGGTTGTGGTTTCCACCGCATCAGAGTTTTGGACCATTGTCTCCTGGATTGAATCCATCATCTACCCTGTCTCATTCTGGGCATCAGGACACGAATCTCGGGACTGAGAACTTTGCGGCCAACATGGTTACTGTTTGTGGGTCTTCTCCAGTTTATGCCCAGTTGCCATTATCTCATGTTGGTGATGGAGACAAGTCTCACGGTTCGGTTTACGGGTTACCAAACTTGCAACCGTCGTCGCTCGCAACTCCTAAAAAACCCTGTCTGAAGCAGATTTCATCTGCTGTCTTGTTCAGAAATCAAGTAGAGGCCGCAATGCCTAAAGCTGGTTGTGAATGTGCTCCCAAAAGATTCCTTGTGTTTGACCAGTCGGGAGATCAGACGACTTTGATCTTCAGTTCTGATATCGGGAAACCCTTCGAAGGTTTAACCACTGCTACTGCTCAAGATATGAAGCGGAGTCTTCTCAGAACCAGTGATGATTTGGTTGTCCATCAGGGTATGGTAGCTAGAGAAGTATTAGCTGATAATAGCAAGCCCGATGTGCAAAGTGAAATGCACGAGGATACTGAAGAGCTAAATGCATTGCTTTTCTCGGATGATGAGAGTGAGTACTCTGATGAAGAAGATGAGGTCACGAGTTCAGGCCATTCGCCGAGTACAATATCAGACCATGTTAACGAAGAAGAGGCAGCTTCTATCGGGAGCACTGATGGGATATCTGCCTTTGTTAGACACTCCCAGGCTACAAAAAGAAAGCTGTTTGAGCGTTATGACAACGGGACACGAACAATGCCGCCTCGAGACACTTCAAACAGTCCGAAACGTAACAGATTATGCTTCGAGGATGGGAATGACGCTGAATCGAGCTGTGGCAACACGGGGTATGTTACCCGTTTCCTGCCACCAAACAATGAGAAGATCAGAAAAGAAAAGATAAGCGAGACCTTGAGTCTATTGCGCGGTATAGTTCCCGGTGGAGACAAAGAGGACCCGATTCTCGTCCTCGACAGAGCCATCGATTACCTGAAATCCTTGAAAATGGAAGCGGAAACTCTAGGTCTGGAGTCTAGCGGTTCCTTGAAGGTCTAAGGGGCTTTGATCTATCTTCGGGTATGGATGAATGTGTAGTAGAACTTGTTGGTCGGGATGAACGATAAAACCCTCAGAATCATCGGATGCGTAAGAAGAGTTCATCGATCGGTATGTCTGAAATCTTGTTGTCTGTTTCAAAGACAGGATCAGAGCCAAGTTTGGATTTGTAAGTGCTTTGATTGCTTGTGGCTTGTAATGTTTTCCATTGATGTGTTTTCTAGTATTGTAACTTTGGTTCAGTAGTGCAGTTTTTGCATGTAAGTTGTAGTGGGAATAAGCATGTAGGCATTGTGGCTGCACAATTATTATTCTCCCACCATTGTAATTTATTTTCCACTATATTGTTGTTGTTTTTGTTTTTCGCTTTTATGTATTTCAATTATGCATTTTTAATCCCATAATCCAAAACAGTCGAAACAATCTTAATGGGCCTTCACGGGCCGGAGACTAAAGCAATTTCTCTGATTAATTCAGTTACATTCAGCCCATAATAGATGGGCCCGTAACTCAATTAGGTTGGATTATTATTTATTTATTTTGTATTTTTTTTTTTAATTTAGTAACTACTTTCATAACGATTTTAATTACATCTAATGTCATGAGTGAGACCACGTGCGTGAAAATGGGGGAACCGAGCTGCATGGGTTATATTTATGTTGCACATGTCGATCCTTATCTGCCACGTGGCAGAACATGTTGTTTGACTTTTCTCTAAAATTTTCAAAACCTAAAACATTCGATACAGGCACTCCACGATGCGGATAAAGTCAAAAGATTGGTATTTTATTTTATTTTATTTAAATTTTTAATGCATTATTCGAAGTTTCTGCCCTTTCTAAGCTTGCCATTATGTTATGGTATCTAATTAACAAACTCATCGAGTTTGAGATCAGTGTTACATGAATAATAAATTTCTAGATGAAATAGGAATCACATTATTGGAGAATACATTATTTGAGAAAATCAAACGAAAGCATAAATTATATTGATTCAATTTGATTTTTTATGAAATCTTGATTGAACTAGTATTTTTTTTTTAGTTTTACAAAATTATATTGATTCAATTTTATAATTATATATTAGATGTTATTATTATTATTATTATTATTAGTTCGTTTTAATAAAATGATTTCGGATAAATGTATATATTTTATTAATTTAAATTGATAGAATTGAATGGTAACGTGGCTTGTTGACAATTATTAAGATAAAAGTTACTATTAATTAATAGATTTGGCAAGTTGAGTCTATTATATGATTGAAAATTTAAAACAGAGACGTAACGTAATTAACTCGTATAAAGTTCAAAGGTTTACTCTTATCTATAATTAGATTAGTTGATTAAATAAAGTTAATTATCTTTGTCACCCCCTCGTATTATCCACATTATACATTGTTATTGAAATTTGAAATTTTACATAAAGAATATTATTTTAGTTTTGATATTATTATATTTTAATCTACAGTAACCTGTAAAAATGATGTAAAATTAATTTCTATAATTGGTATGTATTTTCGTAACGAAATTTGTAAAACAAGAGGTGACGTAAAACGTTACCTAACCACGGATTAAACAAGACGAGATCGTTATCTTCTTCATCATAATTTATGGATAATGTTTTACACATAAAAAAATATAATAAAATAAATGAATTTATGGGCATTAGGCAAATGGCTACCAGTGGGACGAAGACAACATAAAAGCCTATATCCCTCGAGGTTACATTTACATGACATGGAACTAACCCTTTGCCTAATCCTATGTTGCCTAATTTAATTATTTGGTTCGATTCCACTCGTTTATTTTATTTATTATATTTTATAATTTCAAATTTTGCAACGATATATGTAAACTGAGCTGAACAATGATTCCAGTCGTGTTTTATTTATTTTAAAGTATACGTTGCCGGTTTAATTTGGCTTAGATTTAGATTATTTGGTCCGTTATGTTGATTTCGGTTTTGGTTATTTGCTCCGGTTTATGTTGGTTTAGGTGATGTTCCTTTGTTTTCGTCCGTGTGGCTTTTGTACTTGAAAACATTTGAATTTATATTCGAACAACAATAAAAAAAATTGATCCAAATAATTTTTTTCGATCTGTTCTCAACCTTTTTTATGATAATAAAATATAGGTATTGTGATTTTTATGATAGACGATTTTGAACATTATACCAAATTACCAATTTATTTTAGTGACATTTCTTTTGAATTCAAATCATTTGAACCATTAGATATCGATTATAATAATTTATGTTTAAATTTATCCATTTTCATATAAAATAATATAACGTGTGTAGACAATTAGAATGTTTCATAATCTATCTCATGAAGATTTTCACAATAAAATATATTCAGCAGAAATGAACTGAAGTCATTTGAAATGTCACGCATTAAATCGAGAGTCATTCCATAGACTTTTTAGTTAAATAATATAATATTGTAAGGGATCGCGAATAAATAGATCAAAATAAATCTCTTATGCTAAAAATATATCATTACAATAAATTGCACCCAGAAGAAATAAAGAAAGAACAATCAACGACTTTATATGCAATGCATACAAATATTGAAGAAATTGAATAATTTACAATGAATGTAAACCCGAAAACAATTTTTTATTATTTTATTAATAAAAAAAGGGAATCAAAATGAACAAAAAAAAAAAAAAAACTGTTATTCACCGGAATCTGTATTAGAAGGTTTATCTAAATCCGAAAAACTCGTCTGAGAATTCTGATTTTCAGGTGCCCGGAAAATCCTCTCCGACGGAGGCGGAGTTTGGTCGCTCGCCGGAAAAACCAGAGGATACGAAGCAAAAGACGAAGACGACGACGAAGTAGAAGAAGAAGAAGAAGAAGAGGAAGGCGATCTGGTTGCTTGAAGAACAACCTGTTCCAACATGTCGGAACTACCCTGTTCTTGTCCTCGCCGGAAAAACGGAATTTGCAGATTGTAGAAGTCGCCGGAGCTCTGCAACAGCTGTGAATATCTCCAGTAATCCGTCAAAGCTTTGTCCACCGGAGCCTGCGGCGGAGACGCCGAATGAGGCGGCAGAGGAGGAGGGAGGATTCTAACGTTTTCCGGGAAATTGAGCTTGGCCTTGTTACCACGGAAACGGAGAGCCGCCGCGTCGTAAGCCATGGCGGCGGACTCGGCGGGGTCAAAAGTGCCGAGCCAAACCCTAGCCGCCTTGTGTGGGTCCCGTATCTCCGCTGCCCACTTGCCCCATGGTCTCTGCCTCACTCCTCTGTATCTCCTCCTTGTGTCGATATCCCCTGTTTCTTGGTACGGAAAGGCCGAAGATTCCGGTGGATCTGTCGCCGGAAAATTCGTCGAAGTTGGCGGTGGAGGCGGAGCCATGGTGATGGATTCTCTTCCTCCTGTTGTATTGTAGAGATGGAGAGAGTGGCGATTAGTGCATGGTTTTACTGTTTATTCATGCACTCTTAATGCATACTGAATGTTGGTCTCTTGTTTCTTTTTCTTTTGGACATGTATTTTCAGCAAAATCTGATATTTCAATTTTCCTTAAAAAAAATATTGAAGACTCTAACAAATATATAAATGGTGACGTGGCATTAAAATCTTTGCTTGTTTTGACTTGTCTTGCTATCTTGTTATATTTTTTAAGTAAACAAAAACGATGTATTAAAATATTTCAAACAGTGTGCTAATGATTCTTATAAAGAATTAATTCTCTAACATTAAATTTATTTTCTGAATGGACGAAAAAACAGAAGGAAAAAAATTTAATAAAACTGTATTTTCGTGTACCAAATTAATAAAACTGTTTTAATTTAATTAATTACGTGAGACTCACCGATTCCACCCGCAGAAGAGTCTCCTCCGACACAAGATGACGTCATCGCTGGAGAATCATCTTCATGTCTTCCTCTCTTTTGTCCAACCCACAAACCATAATCACTCAAAGGACAAGATGAAGAACCACCTCCGCCGCCGCCGCCGCCGTCAACCGCAACCGCAGCGGTGGTGGTGGAGGTTTCCCGGGCTGAGACAACCTGTGTCAAGGCTGATACCATCGCCGACATCTCCGTACCGAACCGGTTATACCTTCCGACCACCGGATCTTGTTCGAATCCGTACATATCTGCGGCAGATCCGCCAGTATTTTCCGGCGGCGGGTCATCCTCGG